CACCCTTCAGGGCTGTATGATACAAACCAGGCAGCGTCAGTTTGTAATGCCATCGGTAGCTGCCATTATATGAAGAGCGACAAAGTCCGTCCAGGGAGGATGGGTTAGACAAACTTCAGTCTTTCACCTGGGTCCCACTGTTCTTTCCATGTCAGTTTTAAGCCAAACTATGATTTAGTTTTCAAAACCTAATCACGTGCTTTTGTTGCCTAAACCTAAAGATAAAGGATTTTTAAGGAAAAGCATAACCAGCATTTTTGAAGAACAACAAATCGAGTAGCATGTAACATAACATGAAAACTGGATTGTTGTGGAACTCAAAAAGTTAACTGTACCGATAATAGCCTATACACATCAGATAATTAGTACTAATAACAATAGACTAAGAAACGAAATTATATCAGAATGATGTTCTTTAAATCTCCATACTGGCATAGTTTTCAACTAACTTATATAGCCTACTGCAGCAGCAAAATCAAATTTCTAAAATTCAGTTCTGGCTTTTGGTTTTGGATTGTCACCCCAAAATTTTCAGTCGTCCCATCTGGCCACCCCTATGAAATATTTCTGAGTGTGTAGGCTGACATCAGGTACATCTCTGCAGACAGAAGTTCTGTGAGAAAGGTAGATGCTCCTCATCAACACACTGAACGTTGGGTTTTCTAGGCTGTTAAACTTCTGTTGTATGTCTGCCTTCTACAGGTTGTCTGAGCTTCCACACTCCTCCTCGCCACAATGAGTTGGGGAGCGCTCTATGCCCAGCTGGGCGGTGTCAACAAACACTCCACCAGTCTAGGAAAGATCTGGCTCTCTGTCCTTTTCATCTTCCGCATCACTATCCTGGTTCTGGCTGCTGAGAGCGTCTGGGGAGACGAGCAGTCAGACTTCACATGCAACACGCAGCAGCCTGGCTGCAAAAACGTCTGCTATGACCACTTCTTTCCTGTGTCGCATATCCGCTTGTGGTGCCTGCAGCTGATATTTGTGTCCACCCCGGCTCTGCTGGTGGCCATGCATGTGGCCTACAGGAAACGTGGGGATAAGAGGACCATGCTGGCCTCCAACGGCACTGAGAAGATGACAGATAATGACCTGGAAACACTGAAGAAGAGGCGTCTGCCAATCACAGGCCCACTGTGGTGGACCTACACCTGCAGCTTGTTCTTCCGCCTCATCTTTGAGGGCGGCTTCATGTACGCGCTGTACATGGTCTACGACGGCTTCCAGATGCCCCGGCTGGTAAAGTGCGAGCAGTGGCCCTGCCCCAACAAGGTGGACTGCTTCATCTCCAGGCCAACAGAGAAGACCATCTTCACCATCTTCATGGTGTCCTCGTCAGCGATCTGTATGGTCCTTAACGTTGCAGAGCTGTGTTATCTCATCGTCAAGGCGCTCATGAGGTGCTCCAACAAGAGGAAACACCTGTACACCCACACAGACAGCATGACACGGGACAGTGCCCATCTGGAGAACAAGAGGAACGAGATGCTGTTGTCTCCTACACCTGATTCGACCAGGGACAAGATGTGTTGAAGGAAAGTTATGGAGGGGTACCAGAGAGGAAGAAAAGCAGAAACTGTAAATCCAGCCACCTATAATGGTAACCTTACTTTCCTCACTGTGGGTGTACGGTGGAGGTTTTGATGTAGTGTTCACAGTTTAATGTTGCTTGAGTGTTTTGAAGAGAAGAATCAGTCTACACTGACACCTAGTGGTGGTTGGTGGTTGGTTTCACGCCCCCCCCCCCCCCCCCCCCCCCCCCCCCCCACAATGAGCACAAACACTTTCCTCAAAGCCTGAATGATTTATCTGGTGTTGAAGAGAAAGGAGAACAAATGAAGTCATGAAAACTGAAGCCGAAAAATGAGGTGAAGTTTGAAACTAGTTATTCTTTCTATGAGTGATGCTAGAGTTTTTCATTTTTATATGTGTATAATATAATTACTGAGTGTGTTGCACAAGATTACACTGACAAAAACTTTTTATAACATGATGAAATTTTACCCACCACAACAGTTTTCTCTTTGCTGTTCAATCAAATGACAGTGGTTTTTTTTGTCTTTTACTTGAACTAAAAGTGTATGAAGGGTTTCATTATGTGAGTTAAATAACCTAAACAAACTGTGTGTGCAAAATATGTATGTTTTGGCTGTATAAGATGTTTTTTAAGAGCAAGAAATGTCTCTAACAAATCATATTGCATCACTGATCTGGATCTAAGTCTAAAAAAATAGAGGTAAAAGTTAATGTCACATGAGACAAAAATATTAATTCAGAAACACTGAGGTGTGTTAAAACATGCAAAGTGTTATTTTAAATTACAACATGCTTGAGGTTTCTGAGGATATCTAATTTGTCAGACTCACAGTGATCTTTAGGTATGAATCAATGATTATTTGACTCCAGCTTTTTGCATTTGTAACACTTGTGTTCGCCCCCTGAAGCAGGATTATGAAATTTAAACAAGTATTATGTCATTGCTTCTGAAGGTTATTAATTGTCATCATTGGTCTTGAAGTTGAGTCTAACTGTTAATCTTTGCTTTATGAAACACCGTCCAGCCTGGACCTGATCCTCCTGTGTTATTTGGACTTGTGTTGTCGCCACAGTGTGTACTGACCCCAGCTGGCTGTATCAGCTTTCAGCAAGTGCCTTATTTTAGCCACCACACTAATCGCTGCTCGCCCTCTTAACATGAGGAACTATGGGCCGATCTCAAAGAGAAAATGTCTTTGTGTTCCCTCCAATCCAGGAATAGCTGAGTCGGATTAGTCGCATCTGTGTTGTTAAAATAAATCGCTTTATGTGAACGGACAATAGTGATAAGAAAAGATTGGAAAGGGGCTATGAGAGACACATCGGACCAGAAATTCTAAAAAGAAGATCTGGATGAGTCATTTATTGACATTACATAGCTGATGCTGCTCTGTGTAGTTAGAGCATGAAGTGTAATGTTGACATTTTGAAGTGGGCGAGAAATATTTTGACCAAAGATCCAAAAGTCATGCATCATCCCAGATGATGCAGATGCAAGAATAATATTTGTGATTTTTAATTTTGTATGTTTGACCTCTTCCTTTCTGTAACAGCCATTTTGATGCAAACTTTGTGATAGCAGTCATTTTTAAAGGGACACACTTGATCATTCCAGTCCCAAGATGTTGTTTTTGTAACTTTTTGGATAACTCTACATTTAGTAGTCTGCCTTTAACAGCACACAACATACTAATGAACAGACAGCTTTCTGAACAAGCAAATGAAGATATTAAAAGTTGGTGATTGTGTTTTGTACCTGAGATGTTTTTATCACACTTGCACTTTGATCCTTGAATAAATTTTTTTCATAAATTAGTGAAAACAAAACTGTGTGGCTCATTTTTATTTTATTCTTTTGAACAGTATGGGTGAGACAGAGCTGGTTATCATGAACCAACCAACAAATTTAGAGATTTGGTGGACTTTAAAACTGCACAATTAATGTATAAAGTAAAAAATAAGATGCTTCCAGACTGTGTCCAGAAGATGTTCAAAATTCAGAGTCAGTATGAACTAAGAGGAACATGTACTGTATGTTTACAAAAAAAAAAAAAAAAAAAAGCAATACAAAGATGTATAACAGTCAAAATTTTGCGGAATAATTTTGAAAAGGAGCTAAAAATGTGTAAATCATTTTAGATAGATTTTTTAAAAATATTTCAAAATAAGAGGATTAACAAATACCAGAAACCAAGTTATGATGACATGGTGTGTATATGAATATTTGATGGGACTTTGGGGTATATAGAATATACATATACTTTTGATTGTTTCTTTCATTTTCATTGAATAAGGTGAGCTTTTCGGTCAGTATAACTTCTTTTGGTTTGTCACTGCTTCAAAAGTAATGACTTATTATTGTTATTATTAATATTTCTTTTTTCTTGTGTGTATTTGAGTTGTATAAGTTTAAAAATGGCCCAAATAAACCAACTAACACAGGGACACTGGGAGTCGAGAGGTGCCAAAATATTAGTCTGCTCAGAGAATACTGTATTTAGCTCACTATATCTTTTCCCCCCTAGTTTGTCCCCTTTAATCACCAGATACCTGGTTTTCATGAGTAGTCTTAATACTATTTATGGATAGACAGTGTGTTTAGAGCAGGGGTGTGGCCCATGGGCCAGAACCGGCCCACCAAAAGGTCCAAACAGACCCTCTAGATGACCAGACTAAGAGGTGCCAACTTCATGTAAAATTCTGCTACAGAGGCTTTTCCATCCTGACCACAAAACAGTTCTCTGATGTAACAGTGAAGACTTACTGTGATCATGTTTAAAGATATTGAACACTGTGCAAAATATTGTTAATCAGCAGCTTCAGTTCAAAAGAGTCTGTATTAGTAAATGTATGGATAAATGCACATGTAATGACACTGACTGAATGTGGAATAACTGGGACATATTGTTGAAACTGCACTTATTTTTCTTCAGACATCTCCGGCTGTTTGTTTTGTAAAAGGATGGACATCTATGTAATGTACTTTTAATTCTTTACACAGAAAAAGGGGAATATCTTAGCTGATGGTACTTATAGGTTATTGTGTGATGGTTTTATTGGGCTGTATTTGGCCCATGAACTAAAATGTGTTTGACACCCCTGGTTTAGAGAGTCAACAGTAAGTTTATAGTGACCTTATGATCCTTTAATGATGCTTTTTCCTTTGAAAATATAGTAGGCCTAGCCATTACTGTTTTTAAAATTGTAGACTGCATGTTGTTAGAGTTTTAAGGGTTTGGGTGAAACTTTTGGGAAGCAAGTGGTTTTCCTGTGAAATTCAGAGCATGCAGGTTTGAAGCCAATTGTGCGTAAATTTCTGGGGCACATTTCCGGCAACTTTTGCGCATTTTGGACAGGTTTTGGGGAGGTTGGCAGGGGCGTGGTGTGACACCGGACGGGCTGATGACTCTGTGGATTCACTCATGCATGGTCACACAATGTGACAGTCCAGACATGGCTGGAAACGGGAGGCAGCTCCGTTTAACCGAGCCCCATCTCCGACTCCAAGCCGCCTCCAAAAACTAACAACAACAAAAAAGGGAAAAACTTTTTCCTTGTGCAAGTTAACGGGCCCGGGACAAACAGCCAGACAGAGTGGACGAGGTCGTGCATGAATGAGTTTGAGAGGCAGCATTTTGAAAAACAAAAAAAAAAGTTTGAGCTGACAGAGAGGCGACAGGTTGCGGGTTTGGGATCAGGGAGCCAGAGGGAGGGTCACTGCAGCCGCTGGAGGTCTACGCGCTTTTCGACGCACTCAAATGATGGCACCAATGATGGCAGATGGATTTGCTTTTCGTGTTTAAGTATGACATCTCCGGTCTAAAGGTATGACGGATACACACTGCTGAGAATATTTGCCTGTGCTTAAAATGGGAGTAAAGTAACACCAAGTAAATGAAGAGCGGCGCGTTATCAGGTAATTAAGAGTTGCATCAGTTTTTACTAAACAAGAAGAGAAAGACAAAAGCCTGACAAAGCTTAAAGGCAGTCTGGGGACTCTGGCACAGTCTGTATTGTGAGCCTGGTAGGTATGGCTTTGTATTTGAACCTGGCTCTGTCTGTCACATTCATCTCCTGCCGACAGGAATGCCACAAATACCTGTGAAACTAAAACAGAAATTGATTCAAAGTTTGCCAAAAATTACAAGGTCAGATGGTACACGACTTTATGACTCTGAGTTTAATTGCTGCAGTTTCCACAAAATTTACACCACTACCAGTATTTATATTAAGTACTTAAACATTAGAAATTAGAAAATTACAATATGTAAGATTTTGGTAACACTTTATTTGGATAGTCTGCCTACAAATAGTTTATATAGTTCCTTCTTGGACCATTTCAGCATCTTATAAGTTGAGATAAACAGTTTTGCTTTATTCTGTAGATGTTAATTAGGTTATAAAGTAAATGTCACAAATCATGAACATACCTACATATTCTCAGAATAATTTACCTGAATTTAACTTATTCTCTCAATCTATGCAGCATAGTTTGAGTAAAAAGTTTCAGTTCAACTAACTTATTCTAAAAATATGTAGTGAATTGTCACATATACTCAATAAATACACATCTACAGACAAAGTAAACTAATAAGCTGTTAAAATGTGACAAATACTTAATGAACTATCTGTAGGATGAGTATCTAAATCAAGTGTTTACCAAATTTTAAAACTTCTTTTACACTTTCTAAAATACTTTCTTCGAAGTTTTGTTAATCTGTATAAATTGAATTCTTTATCATAACTTTTAATGTGTTATTTTGTTTTGCTCACTAGTTTTAATCTGCTAACGTCATTCAAAGTCTGAAAGAAAGGAAATTGTTTGACTGTTTTTTCTCTTCCAGGTGTCATACATATTGTGAACCCTAGTCGATGGATTTATTACCTTTAATACAAGAATATTTTAGTAAGTTTCTCCTCTGCTTTGTGTGTTTGTGTTGAATTTGTTGCATGAATAGTTGAATGAACACAGTACTGTCTAAAAGATGTAAAGAATAACATCAGATTTCAGATATCAGACACATTTATCACCCGCCTGTCCCATCAGAGGGCAAAAAAGATAAATGTTCACGTGTTTTACTTAAATTTCATTTATTTTATTTGTCACCCATTTTTAACCAGGTAAATCCCATTGAGATCAATGATCTTTTTTTCAAGGGAGACCTTGCCAAGACAGCACTGACGGAGAAGTTAGTTACATTTGAAAATATTTGTTTGACGAGTCTGTTTAAAAGGCAGCTATAAACTTAGCTTTAAATCTGTGACATTTAATAACAGATGTGGTGCTAAGAAGATGAGTCAATCAACAGGAAGTCAATTGACAAAACTTTGTGTAATCGATTAATCAAGCCATTTATCAAGCAAAAAAGTCCAACATCCTCTGATTTCAGCTTTTCAAATATATGTTCATTTTCTCCATTTAATGCCACTGTTTTTTAAATAATTTTGCAGTTTGGATGATTGTTTAAACAAAGAAAGCTATTTGAATTCATCAATGTGATTTTTTTGACATTTTAAGGAATTAATAATTCAATTAATCAAAGAAAAAAGTGAAAAAATAATGGATAATGATAATAACAAGTCTTTCCAAATTTTAATCTCAACTTTAAGAGTTTTTTTTTTAAAACCTAAAACAGCTTATGTCTTACTGTAAATCAGACACGATTACATTATTATTATTATTATTATTGTCTATTGTAATTACAGTAAAAGTTTCATTTTGGTCGCTGTGGCTTCAGTGTTACAGTTGACAGTGAGAGACAGAGGAAGGGAGGGTGGTGTGTATGTGTCAGTATTTGTTTCTGTGTGTGCATGTGTGTGTGTGTGCCACACCAGAGCCCCATTGCTGCTAAATGCTGTTTTCGAACATTATAATGTTGATCTCAGCACATGCCTGCTGGGCAGTGGAGCGAGCAGGTGAGAGCGAGAGAGACGGGCCTGACATAGAGACAGAGAGAAAGGCAGAGTGAACCAGGGTTCAGTCAAACAGGTGGCCTATACAGTATACCAGCTGCTAAAAAGTGTCTGTGTTTGAGGCGAATGCTGTGTTTCGATTAGTTATCGATATCTGACGCCTACGTGGCAGTTTTCTATAAAGACCTTGTTCTGCTAAGCGTTCTATGAAAAAGAGAAATATGTCAGAGTTTGGTCGACACCTGCACTCTCCTCCATGTCCTTGTGTCGTCTTGTGTGTTCGTATGTGTAGCGTGTTTAACCTCGGGGTAAGGCCTTATGTGACAAACATTCAGACCAACTTCGAGCACAGATTCATCAGCATTTCATTAACTTTCTGTTTCTTCTTTTTGTTTTCCTCCCTTCTTTGTCCTCTCCAGCCTGTACTTTCTCCATAGGCTAGAAATCTTGAAGCATGGGCGACTGGAGCTTTCTGGGGCGGCTGTTGGAGAACGCTCAGGAGCACTCAACGGTCATCGGCAAAGTCTGGCTGACTGTCCTCTTCATCTTCAGGATCCTGGTGCTGGGGGCCGCGGCCGAAGAGGTCTGGGGCGATGAGCAGTCCGACTTCACCTGCAACACTCAACAGCCCGGTTGCGAGAACGTCTGCTATGACGAGGCCTTCCCCATCTCGCACATCCGCTTCTGGGTGCTGCAGATCATCTTCGTGTCCACACCGACTCTCATCTACCTGGGTCACGTGCTACACATCGTCCGCATGGAGGAGAAGCGGAAAGAGAAGGAGGAGGAGATGCGCAAAGCAAACAGGTTCCAAGAGGAGAAAGAACTCCTTTATAGAAATGGTGGAGATGCTGGAGGAGGCGCTGGCGGCGGCAAGAAGGAGAAGCCACCAATCAGGGACGAGCATGGCAAAATCCGTATCAGAGGCGCATTGCTGCGTACCTATGTGTTCAACATTATTTTCAAGACCCTGTTTGAAGTGGGATTCATTTTGGGCCAGTATTTTCTCTATGGCTTCCAGCTGAGGCCCCTGTACAAGTGTGCACGTTGGCCCTGCCCCAACACCGTTGACTGCTTCATTTCGAGGCCCACTGAAAAGACTATTTTTATTATATTTATGCTTGTGGTGGCTTGCGTGTCTCTTTTGCTGAATTTGTTAGAGATCTATCACCTTGGATGGAAGAAAGTTAAACAGGGCATGACAAATGAGTTTGCCCCTGACCACGAGTCGCTGCGCCGCGTCGACATTGCAGAGCCTGAGTGTATGGCCTCAGCCTCCAGAACTGCCCCATCCACCCTCAGCTACCCTCCCAACTACACAGATGTGACGGCAGGCAGCGGGGCATTCCTGCCGCCCATGGTGCCGGCAGCCGTGCCCTCAGCGGCGGGGTTCAAGATGGACGAGCTCCAGCAGGAGGAGTCCCTCCACCAGCCCTCCCCCTCCCACTACTACATCAGCAACAACAACAACCACAGGCTGGCCACGCAGCAGAACTGGGCCAACCTGGCCACCGAGCAGCAGACTCGGGAGATGAAGGCCACCTCCCCCTCCCCATCTTCCTCTTCCTCCAGCACCGCTGACAAGGAGCAGCAGCAGCCGCCCATCGATGCTGTGCTGCTCCCTCCAACCAGCAACACCAGTAACACCAACATCACCAACTCGACTGCCACTGCCGCCTCCAGCAGCAGCAGCCCTGGCACTGCATCCAACGCAGGCAGCTGGAGTGGAGGGAAGAGCGAGCAGGAGGAAGGTCACGTCACCACCACTACTGTGGAGATGCACAAGCCTCCAGTAACGGTCAGCACAGACCCTCGGCGGCTTAGTCGGGCCAGCAAGAGCAGCAGCATCAGGGCCAGGCCGAGCGACCTGGCTGTCTAAATCTCTTCAGCCCTTTCATGTCCCTAAACCCTCCCTGACCAACACCCCGCTTCCCCAAACCCCACCCCCAAACACAGTGATTCTCAGACAAAAAAATCTCACACATGCAGAAAGCAGAAAAAAAACCAAAAAATTAAAAAAACAAAAAAAAAAAACAGAAGAAGGCAAAGTGACAAGAGACAGGAAAGCAGAGTAACAGAAAAGTTTAGGCAAATGTGAAATGACTTGATCAGCAGCAGTCGTTGATTTAGTGCAATCGGTGAGTTGCAGAGTAGTTGAGGCAAGGTTTGTTTTTTTTGGTCTTAATTTATGCACACAAAATGTGATCATGCAGTGCTGAAGCCAGACGGCTCTGCCCACATGGAGCGAAGGACATTGTGCTGTCGTAATTTTGCATCGAAATGGACACATCTCACCAAGGTGTTTGGTTTGGGGGGAAGATCTCATGGTGTTTTTTTTTCCTTCTTTTTGTTGAGCCTAAAGGACTGATTATTTCACATGAAAGTGATCATTTGTGAAAACAATGACTGGATTTTTATTTTTATTTCAACTGAAGGAAGCACATGTAGCTGGCGTTGTTGTACAGATCAGTTATTCAATGCGTAGCCAGACAATTCGCTCATATATCTTGTTCATCATTTTTATCTGGTTTCACAGTCAAATCGGCCGCGCAAACGTGAACTGCGCGTTGCACTACATGTTAACCAGGTTGTTACAGCGTTTGTTCTTTGACCTGGAAGGTCGTTTGATGCATCATTTTACCAAACACCTGTTGTGTTAAACATAATTCATGCATGTAGAAATTCCATCAACAAACATTACTTGTATTGTGTTCCTTGTAGGTGTGCATGCCAGCAGCCCTACAACTCACCGATTCACTGAGAAATTTGCATGGCAAAGGTGGCTAGCTTGGTTTTACCCATGATCCACTGCTGCACTTCCCTGCAGAGACGATATTTATTGTAATTGAGATGGAATGGATAGGAATGGACTGATGTGATATCCCCGGATTCCTAAGCATAAACAGATACAGTCACAGTGTGGACAGGATATGGGTCAAAACTGGTGGTAGAAGTCATCCCTGTGATGCCCAGAATGCACCTGGGTTTCTACGAGCACTACATTGTCAATAACATAGATCAAAACGTTTCCACTAAGCTGTAAGTTTGCAAAAGAGGTCCTTTGTGCCTACCTCTGTCAGCGTCGCCTTCAGTCAACATGTCTGAAAAGCAAAATGCTCTACACTAACTGCACAAATGACAAGAAATTGCCTTCAGAGAATTTTGGAAATGTTATGAAAACACACGACAGCCACCATCTGATATTAAGAATAACATTATATTCCTTGTTCATGCACACAAACAGCCTCCCAGAGCTCTTTGGTTGACATTAAACTGCAGTTTTTTTTGGGGGGGGGGGGGGACTGAGACTTGGCAGATATCTTTGCCCTCAAACCCACAACCCCTCTCTTTAATCATCACACCTAAATATTGAGAGCAACTTTGGGAGTTTGACTTTCACCGTCACACATTTACGTTGCTTCTTCATTGGTTTTATTCTGAAAAGTGCTATTTTTTTAAATTGAATTTTACTCATACATTGCATACTTGTAGTAGTCAGTTTGTGGTTGCGAAACAGCTACGATTTAAACAAAATGACCTGGCGCTGCAAAGTTCAAAACGCCACGGTGCGGTCGACCTTGACGGCTTCTATTTTGTTGTGTTCATCTTGATTCTTAGAGATCTTTAGAAACCCAAACTTTTAACTGAATTCATCAGCAGCCGCAGTCCTCTGTCTCTGTTGTGTTACTGTGCTGTTTGGTTCGTTCACAACCCAGGCACTCACCTTCAAAAGCCCGTTTTTTTTTTTAAAGCTTTAACACCAACCTTAATCCACTGTATTATCCTGTGAGTTCACCTCTAGGGCAGAGTTGGAAGTGCACAGTAAGACTGTGTGAAAACTCATTGGACATATTGTACTCACAGGGCATAACAACATGATTAAGAACTAATATGTTTGTGCACAGTATTTTACAGGAGCAATACTTTTCCAGCAGTTAATGTGCAGGTTAATACACTGGAGTAAGAGCAAAGTGGTAGCAGCTGTTTTGTTTTATTTTTAGGGGGGTGGGGGTTACAAAATGATGGTACTGTATAGTGTAAGAGTATTTGTACCCATATAATGTCTCATACTCTATCTTACTTAAGTTGCTTAAATGACATTTAGTGCAAACAGAAACACAAAGAGGAGAATAAACACCCACACGATGCATAGGTAAAAGCAGCCTTTCCAAATCCATGTTTCTTGTTCAAAATGACAAAAAAAAATCTTTGTTATCTGCATTTGTTCTTGATCCCAAAAGTTTACATTTTGGTAGTTGATAAAGATTTGCACATTTAGGAAAGAAAAATTGCTGTTCTACAATGCTAATATTGGTAGTAGTAGTAGTAGAGAGAGCGCGAGAGAAAGAGCGAGAGCGAGCGTGACGAGAAAACTGCCAAATCTCTATGATCCTCAAAGGAAAAAAATGTCTTAAAACTAAAACGCAGTGGCTCTTCACACAAAAGGCAGTATTAAAAAAAAGAAACTGTTACTTATCTCGAGCTCAGATAACGATGAGTTTGAAGATTTAAAAAAAAAAGCGCGAGAGAGAAAAAACAGTTGGGGTATTTTTCTGTGTGTTCACGGTTTGTTCTCACAGACGTCACATCAGACGACTCCACTGTTGAGAGAATGTTAGCTGGGTAGCTGGCCCTTCCCTAACCCTGCATACGAAGCCCTGAAAGGATGTTGTGTTCAAAGCCCGTCGTCCCCTTGACTCCTCCAAAAAAAACTCTCTCCTCTTACGTTTCATGCAGAGCATGATTTCTCTGGATCGTCAGGGAGTAGGAACCATCTCACAATGCTCAGAACAGCAACCTGTTTTCAATGCTGTCTTAAACAAGAGAAGTGCCTTGTGTATGAATGATTCTTTTGTAAGAACAAGTTGATGTAAATGTTCATTTACCTCAAATGTTTACAAAACTGTTACTAAATAAATTTTTTGTACCATATTTGTTGTTCTCGCTTTCACTTTTGCTTTGCACGATGGATGAAGACGCATAGCTGCAGACTGTAGACTGTAGGCTTGACTTGACATTGACTGAGTGACTTCAAGTTTTAACCTGGTAAAATCCAAACAATTAATAAATAATCATTCCATTTTAGAACTTTGTATTAGAAGGACTTGGTCATTCCGGTGGTCCTTACATGGACCTGCAAATAAAGCAATCAAATCCCTAGAATAAATATTGCCATTTTCCATTTCTGCAAACTACGGATACGTTACACTTTGTACGTTACGTAGCAGGTACGTTGAATGTTAAAGGTTCTTTTTGTTTCAACAATTCTGTGGTTAACGTGTTTGGGTTTAGGTACAAAAAACTGCATGAAACAAACTAAAAGATAGCTGAGAGGCTGAGCTGAGCCTGGTTTAGATCCAAAAACGCATTAAATGAATTTATTAATGAAAAAGAATCAACTTAATATAACGTGCACAAACCTATAATCAAAATGATCACAGTTGATAGATAAAACTGCGGGCAACAAAAATACGGCTAACCAATCACCCTCTCTCTCCAACCATAAAAACAACAGAGGTGAACACGAGACATATCATATAGATTATGAGTGTCACCCCTCATACCCATGTAATATATAGTATATATATTCCAAAACACTAACATAAACATATAACAGTACAAAAACATAAACCAAAACTAATTAATCTTACTAAAATACATGGTTTTGGGGGCACTTTTCTGGCTGGAAACACAGGAGTGTCTCAGTTTCTCGCTGAAAAACAACCAGGTTTGTTGTCTGATGATCTGGAACAGTGGTCTGCAGCCTGGAAGGTGTCTCACCGAGATGTCACTCCATCCACCATCCCTCCAACCTGACAAAGTACTCTCATATACCATGTTACTTTAGAAACACTGATATGAAATGCACAAACGTATTCATGGTTTGCAGAAATGCACAGTGCAAATATTTTCTTCTGGTGACTGGGCTGCATGAAGATTTAAAAACAGCTGTGATCAATACAAAGATGAGTGGAGGAGGACAAATTAGTTTGAACAAAAGAAGAGTATTTGCAAATGAATTTGAGGATCAGCAACAGAATGAGGGCATGGGTGGAGTTTGCATTTTTGAATTCAGTCACAGGAGGTTTTAATACCTGCTTCTTGGGACTCCATTATATTCGAAATGTTACTTTCATTCCTGGTGAATTTTTTTTTCTCCAAATTATCTTGGAGAGAACCACCTTCTCACAACAGGACAGACAGCCAAACATGGACTGTGCGTTTGACACAACTGGCTACTAGCACAGTGAATTTTGGGGTTTCTCGTTAATTCTTGTTGTTCAAGCCTCCACCTGATGCTTCTTCAACTGGCAGGTCGACTTCCAGGATCTCTACTTTTCTAGTTCTGAAGAGGGAAAACATACTTATTATACAGTATATACTGGACACACATCACATATTCAGAACCAGAGATGCAGCTCGTTACTTTCAAAGAATGGGCTGGTAAGAAGAAGATAAAAACCCTGGCCTCAAGATGACTTGAAACACTCAAAGACTAAGTTCAGCTTTTTTGTAACAAAGAGAATTTCTAAATGTGCTTATTTGTTAAACTTAGTGAGTTGAATTAAGGATGAGCAATGTAAGTCCGATCATTGGTTTACAAGACCAAACGCTTTGCCATTTGGCCGTCACACCTCATAAGTACATAAACACAGAGATTGACAAAATATTAAATTGCTAACTCAATACATGGACAACAAAACATGTATGACTCAGGTTGACGTTTTCAAAAGTTCAAGGTCAGTAGTCCGAACAATAATTCATATATATCTAATAATGTCTCTTAAGACTATACATTAAGAGATATACAACTAGTTTGACAAAAGAAAAATTTAACTCAGTGTCAACTTACCAGCTTTCTCCAGAGATTTCAACCACATCTCATGGTCTTCATCAGCTGATGGAGTTAGCTCAAGTTGTCATGAAGATTGTAAACTCTTTCTTCAAGTGCCATCAGT